TCCCCCTATTCTCTGGGTCCTCATGTTCTGGACCCCTTTTTTGGGTCCTCATGTTGTTTAGTCCCCCTATTCTCTGGGTCCTCATGTTCTGGACCCCTTTTTTGGGTCCTCATTTTGTTCTGGACCCCATTTCTGGATCCTCATGTTGTTTTCTCCCCCTATTTTCCGGGTCCTTATTTTGTTCTGGGCCCCTTTTCTGGGTCCTGCAGACCCTCAGGTTCCCCCTCCGGGTCTGAGCATCGTCCTATAATGATGCACCTGGCTAAGTAGGTGGGGGGGGGGCACAAACAGAGAGGAATTCCCCCCCGATCCGGGATGATGACATCACACAGGGATCATGTGACACGTGTGCCACAGAGCAGAGGGGGGGGGGGGGGGCCCTCTCCTCCCTGTTTGGGTCTGTCTCCACTTATAACACTCCCATAAAGCCCATAATGCCGTACAGATGTGGAGGTCCTGTAATATGGCGGGCGCGGTATGTGGGGAATGCCTTTGATCTGGGCTTTGGAGCGCAGACGCCCGCTTTGATGATTCTGCTGACATTTCCAGGAGACTTTAAAGACTCCAGAGGCCTAATCGAAGCAGCCTGCCCTCGTTCTGCTGCAGGTTAGGTAGCACTAGTGCGGTCAGATCGGCTTTTTTATGGTTCAAACGCGAGGAGACGTCGTGTCTGAGTACTTTCTGAATGATGTTATATAAAACAACTTATTTACGCTCATCCAAAAGTGCACTGAAGTGAATTGAATCAAAGCTACTCTGCTCAAGTAAACAAGAGAAAGACCCCTTTAGGCCCTAAACCACTTAAATTGACCTCATTAACATCTGGAAAGGAGTGGATATGCAAATCGGGCCTAAAAACCCATCGTCTGCAGATTCCTGCAGGCCAGAAAACTCGTTTATTCCTCTTGTAGACGCACAAAATGGAGCCTAAAAGACTTTAAACTGGTTTGGTTTGAGTGATTTCTCAGAAATGGAGGTTCTGCTGATAGCTGCAAACCCCAAATCAGATAAAAATGGAACAAAATTCAGTTTGTCAGATCAAGAAAAACACTCTCTGAGCATAAAATCCCACCAAAAAGGATTCAATTAATTCATTTTCTGTTTCTTATTTCAGAAACTGTGACCCATAAAGACTCAGGGCCACCTAAAGTTAATCCTGAAAACCAAAGAATATCTGACAAAACCAGCTTTAAAGTGAGTTTAAGAGGTCTGTGTCTAATGTAACATTAATGTTGTGTCACTCATGTAGAATAAAATGAAACTGGGAGAAGTTGTCTTTTTTCACCTGAAATGATCAATTTCTTTGCCTCTTTTGAGGCATTTTGGCCCAAGTTTGCACCAGATGTGTCACAATTTCGTGAATTATACTAAACTCGCTTAAATTCCAGGTAATATCAGCCACTTTCTGATTGTGACAATGTGTTTCTGATCTGTTTATTTACAGGATGACTGGCAGAAATTCCTGATTTAGATTTAAAAATGGGGACTGTATTCTCCCATAAACTGGACCACTTAAAGCAAATATGATTCCAAAACAATCAGAAAAACACACAATTACACAATCGGCTGCTTTAAGCCTAAAATAAATTTTACTTTCTGGGCCAAGAATTGCAAAAATTTCCCAAATGTGCACATTTCTGCCAGAGACACACAAAAAAGAATCGATTAGCATTTCGTAAATATCCAGTAAATGAGGACTTTCACCTCTTGTGAAACCCACCTTTGTCTCCTGTTAGATAACGTCAGGTTTAAAGAAGACGTAGAGGAATTAACACTGATCAGGGATGTTTTATGTAACCTCCTCTCTGGGTAGTTACATAAATCTCTCAATTATCAAAAGGGATTTCTTGAATTTTCCGGGCTGTCTCAGGTGGGACCGGCTGGGTCTTTGGGCTCTGACAGATAATATATCAGATAATACTGATCAGCTTTAGAGCTCAACTTAAATTTTGGATGAAAGCAAACCA